ATCTGGCATATCATATAGTAACCTGTACATTTCAGTTACAGCTGCCTTCTAATTACTGTTCTTTTATAATTTTATTGAACTTCTTATAAGTAGTTAATCATGCTTAAGTAGTTAATCATTTTTCTAGAAAAATCATGTTAGCAAGCAATTGGAGCTGATAGAATGGGGGAAGATCTCTCTAGTCTACCATGTCTCCATCACTCTGTGTTGCTCCCTGCTCTCCTTTCATCCCCAGCAAGCTGTAAGATGGATTGCCTGGCCCCCGACAATTTTATTTTCCAACCCCAGCATTGAAAATATATTTGAGTGACTAACTAGATGCTTGCATTGTCTGGGTGCTAAGGACACGGTGATGAACAAGATAGGAATGATACTAACCCTCAGGTAGCTTATTGCTTCCTGAGAAAGCCAGACTATTCAGCAAATTATAATAAAGTGCTGAGCGGAGCAGTCAGACAGTACTGTGGGAGCCAGTAGCTAGGAAACCTAACAGATTTCCTAACCTATTAGGGAGGGTAAGCTGAGTTGAGAAAGTGAAATTTAAACTGAGTCCTGTACATCATGTCCAGTAAAGTGAAGAATAGGTGAGAATTCAAGGCACAGAGAACAGCATGAGCAAATTCCTGAAGTCCCATAAGTGTTTGTACTGATTAGTTTGAACCTACATATGATTTTAGATCGGTGAAGTTGCTCATAACCAAAGTATACACACCTATGTTTTCAAATTGTTTTTTGTCAACTATTTGTTTCAATTGTAGCCTTAAAGCACAAATAGAACACATAGCCTAATCACAATAAAAATATGAACCATATTGTAATAGCAGTAATTTAGGAATCAGTTTTGCTGTGCATAAAATGAACAATTGTACCTCACTTTGAAGTGTTTGGGAGGCTGAAGATATAAAGGGTTAAGCACTCAGCAGGGTGCCTTATAGAGAGAAAGTGTTAATCTCTGGAGGTTATCATCATTGATTTACTCAATCTTCACAATAAATTGTTGAAATAATTATTACTCTCTGAATTTTAGAACTGACATTTAGAGAGGTGAAATCTTCTCCACAATAATATGTGTCATTTTTTTTAAGATTTAGTTAAGGTATTATTTTTCCTCCCTTCTGGGATAAGTTTTCTTTCTCACTGGTTCCAAGAGAACCATGTATAAAAATGAACTCTACACATTGGCAGATTGCATTGTAATAATTTTTCTGTGTTTAAGACATATGATTCTTCTGTTACCCAGGGAGCTACTCACTGGAAGGTCTATGTTTGTCTTACTCATACTTGTGTCTAGTGCATAGGGGGCACATAAAGATATTTACTAATAAATTAAGGTAGAAATTGAATAGAACAGAACATTCTGATTTCACATCATATAGTATGTTTACCATGCCAGATATGCGTTACAACAGTGATTCTTTTAATAATAAGATAATAATGAAGCACCATTTTTAAAAAATCACTAAATGCATTGATAATTAAAAATGTGCCATTGTATAAAGTTTTCCTTATTTTTGATATGTTTGAAGTACACTTTCCGCTTCTAGTGTCCCTTGTTTAATTGTTGTGGAGAAACTGTCGGGTAGCCCGAGAATATTTCTTTCCAAAGGATGAGTGCAGGGGATAGTATGTACTCAGTGTTTCTTTTGACTTCTTTCACAAAAGGAAGCACGTTATCAGGAAAATTACATAGAAGCGTCTCCTAGAAGCCATGTAATTTGAGGTAACGTACTTTTGGATGCACAAATACCAATCTCTCTCCATTCAGGCATTCAAAAGGTAACCAGACTGGCATATTGCTAATTAAATAACTAAAAGAAATTGAAACCAGTGAAGTGAAAACCAGTGTATTATTTGTGTTAAGATTTCTGTTAGACCTACACTGATGAAATAATATACCTTTTGAAATGACCAGAAATTATGTTTTATTCTATAATAAAATCAAGTTAAAATACTTGCAAAAATATAACACTCTTATGGGATGTGTAGGATACAGCTAACCTTTTACCATGTATCCTTCAACTGGTGGAGATATTCTGAAATTTCCAAAAATATTTTATTTGTCATGATTTCCCTATGGTTTACATTTGCTATTTCTTAGTTAATAAGAACAAGTAGAGCAATTGGGGAAGAATTATAGCTACCAAATATTTCTGTCTGTTTTCATCGTGTATCATTTTAGAAAGTAAGAAAGATTAAAATGAGAAAAACTTACCCTCAAATTAGAGTTGGTAAATATCTTTGCATTTACTGTGCTATGTCCTTTTCCATTGAGAGAGGGCTATATAACTATTAGAAATTTATAGTCTTTCTGTCTCCTTAATGTGAAGAGGCTTGGGGGAAAAAATCACCCCCAAGTGAAATACTGGCATCTCTCTGTCTCAGTCTTTAAAATCAGGATAATTTCTCCCTTGCCTCAAAATGTGAAAATTATAGGGGAAAAAATAGAGTCAATATGGAGTGATGAAAGGAATGCCCTTTCCAGATGGGTGAAAATTTAGAAATCACAGGACGATTATGCAAGGAGATCTATTTTAAATACTCCTCAAGATTAGAAAGTGAAAGTGAAGTCGCTCAGTCGTGTCCGATCTTTGCGACCCCACGGACTGACTATAGCCTACCAGGCTCCTCCGTCCATGGGATTTTTCAGGCAAGAATACTGGAGTGGGTTGCCATTTCCTTCTCCAGGAGATCTTCCTGACCCAGGGTTTGAACCCGGGTCTCCCGCATTATGTAGGCAGATGCTTTACCGTCTTGAGCCACCAGGGAAGTTGCTCAAGATTATTCCCTTACAAATAACAGAGAGGTAACCATCTCTTTGTGTCACTGAGAAAGAACTATGCGTGATGCTCATTTATTGAAGCCTATCACTGGAGTTCAGAGCACAGGAATTTTGAAATTAATCAGAATCTTGTTGGATGCCTACTATGTGTTAAAACTCCACCATGCCCTGACATTCACTACAGATGGGAGGAGAAACACTCAGATTAGCTTTGTATGTATTAACTCATTCAATCCTCATAGCAGCCTTAAGAGATGGATATTTCTGATACCAGTTTACAGTTTGAGGAGACTCATGCATGGATTAAAGTCTTTATTCAAGGACTTTACCATGAGAATGATAGAGGTCAAGACTCAATCCCAAGAGTGTAATTTGAAAGCCAGACCTCTAAATATATTGCCCTCTGAGATGAAGTTTACAAGGCTCTATTTAAATACTTCATCAGAAAAAACTACTGCTACCAAACAAAGGGAAGGGGAGGAGTCAGATGCAATAATAAGTGGAAAAATAACAAAATACTGACCCATCTTCCATTTATGAGTCCAGTTTTGCTCACCTGTTCAAATTACTGTTAAGGACATTTATTTTGGTTTTGATTTTAATTTTGAATTTCTTCTTTTTAAAAAAAATTTTTTTAACAAATTTAAATTTCCTGGTGAAATTACACTCATAAATTTTTTGAACATATTCATTGTAGTTTTTCTGTATAAAGTCCATTTGTGATAACAACATGTACTGAATTATGTATTCATATCTATCTATTTTCTGAGTTATTGGCAGTTCTTAGTTAATGACAGACCTGGGATTTTTGATCAAAATCCAGGCCTTGTATATGAAAATTTGTAGACATTGTGGTTAACTTATTTACCACAGAAGGTTCACCATTTCATTTGGTAGGTAGACAGGAGTGAGACCATATCACCTAAATCAGGAGCTGGGTTGATATCTACCTCTGGTCCACTCCACTTGCAGAGTATAACCCTCCATATGGTTCAGCTGTCTGCTAAGAGGTTGACTAGGACTTTCTCTGGCTACTCCTGTACTCTGGTTGTTTCATTTGGTCCATCAGAGTGCAGAAGGCTTCCTTCTGCTTTGCATGCAGGCCAAGTTGCTTTAGTCGTGTCTGATTCTGTGACCCTATGGACTGTAGCCCTCAGGTTCCTCTGTCCATGGGATTCTCCAGGCAAAGATACTGGAGTGGATTGCCTTGCCCTCCTTGGGATTTTCCCGACCCAGGGCTCGAACCCATGTCTCCAGGGCCTTCTGCATTAGCAGGCAGATTCTTTATCACTGAGCCACCTGCGAAGTCCCCCTTCTGCTTTATAGAGACTTTTTTTTTTAATTGTTGTTTATATTCTTAGTCTTTGTCTTATGAAGTGTAAGAATTAAACTTTTCTATACTTTCTTCTGCTTCTGGTGTCTAGCCTATTAGATTCCCCAAACCCTGTGTCACTCTAGTCCTAGAAGATTACCTAAGATCTCTCTTGCTCTTCCTTCTGAGCCTTGGTCTTCTATCTACAAGAGTCCTCATTTTGCTAAAAAGTCACTGATTCCCTCAGGATAAAAGTAACTCCTATACTATCATCTCACTTCCCTGATGTTATCTTTTTTCCTGAGATCATGGCTCCTCTAGTCAGGGTTATTTCAGAGTCTATCCAGTGCTTCCAACATATTTTTGAAAAGTTATCCTTCAAAAACTAGTCTGTCATAACCAGAAACAGATGCCATAAATTATTTACTGAATGTCTACATGCCAGGATAGTGCTCACTGCTGGGTTATACATGGTAACATGTGTCTAAAATATTTAAAATAGTTAATAAGTTATATGTATGCATTTTTATATCTGACCTATTCTCTAACTCAGGAACTAATGTTCTGTTGACTAACACGGAAACGTGACACATATGGTAAATGATTTTCTTAGTAGCGTACAAAATGTGATTCAGGAGTTGACCTAGATACTGGAGTAGGAAAAGTGAGTCAGGAATGCTTCCCAGAAGAAGTGTAACCTTAGGCAGGAATTTCAAAGATTGAGAAAGAGTTAATCAGGCATAAATTGTTATCAACTGGATCCAATATGACTTCTAAATAGCCTATGTTAGTACTTAAAATATATTTATTTCTATTAAAAGCATAAGTGAATTTGAAACATTAAAAATACATTTGAGGATATAAATGCTATCTTAAAAATTTTAACCATGCCAATTGATTTCTCCATAGGTGTTCAAAGCAATGAATATCCCACAAATCAGAAATCCTTCTCTGCCTCCCCCAGAAAAAATGCCTGAAGCCTATTCGGCAAAGATTGCTCTTTTGGGTGCTGGGCCTGCAAGTATAAGTTGTGCTTCCTTCTTGGCTCGATTAGGCTACAGTGACATCACTATATTTGAAAAACAAGAATATGTTGGTGGTTTAAGGTAATTCCTACGTTTATTTCATGTTCATAGTGTTCAAAATAATGGGTAAAACAATTATGAATATTGGTTTGTAATCATATAGGAACTTCAAGTTCACAGATGGTATTTTAAGTGTTCTTTTTCCAAATGCTCAAATTTTGCTTTCATTATTCACTTTAAATTTGCACTTGGCTTTAAGTAATATTTACTTTAAAATTTCTCTGTCTAGTTCTGTGAATTTAAGAGAAATCACAGCAAAATATTTTATGAATAGAGGAACCAATCATATGAAAGCTTATTTCATCCCTGTGAATCTTTCCTTTATTGGAGATATATGTGAGTTATGCAAATTAGAGATGGGGAAACCTACCTCCACAGAATATTGGATGATTCATTTCAGTATGTATGTAGATGTGTTGTCTTGGTCATGTATTTTCATTCTCCAATCTCTTAGGTTTTGCATCTGATTACAATTAAGTTAGAAACTACTAAAAATGTTCCATTTTACTGTATATTTATGCAGTGTTTTATCTCATAAGTACCATATTACTATTTGCTATTAAGCAACATTATTGTTGTAAACCAGGATTCATCACATACACATTTATTCCCTTGGAGATCCACACACTAGTATGGAAAATATTCACTGTGTATAAGTGATTTTCAGATATTCATATCAGGCTTGGACAATGGATGGAGTTTACTTTATTTAAGATAAATGGACTCTGTAGAATATATAGTGGAAAAAAGGCAGTTTTTTCAATGAGTGATGTTGGGCCAGTTGGACAAATATATGTAAGTCATTAAACTTAGAACATTTCCTCACACCATATATATAAAACTAAGCTCAAAATGGCTTTAAAGACCTAAATAAAAGACATGACACCATAAAACTCCTACAAGAAAACATAAGCAAAGCATTCTGTATCTGATATAAATCTTAGGAATATTTTCTTAAATCGATCTCCCAAGGTAAAATAAATAACAACAAAGATAAGTAAATTGAATCTAATCAAGCTTGAAAGCTTTTGCATAGCAAAGGAAATCATCCACAAAACAAAAATACAATCTGTGGAATGGGAGAAAATATTTGCAAACAATATGGCCAACAGAGTTTAATTTTCAAAACAGCTTGTACAACTCAATGTCAGAATAAAATAAAATAAATAACCCAATCAAAAAATGGGCAGAAGACCTAAGTAAACATTTCTCTAAGAAAGACATACAGAAAGCCACCAGGTGCATGTAAAGATGCTCAACATTGATAATCATTAGAGAAATGCAAATCAAAACGACAATGAGATGCACCTCACACAGGTCAGAATGGTAATGGTCATCCTTCAAAAGTCTACAAATAACAAATGCTGGAGAAGTAGTGAAGAAAAGAGAACTGGTCTGCACTCTTGGTTGGAATGTAATTTGGTGGAGCCACTATGGAAAATAGTACAGAGGTTTCTTAGAAAACTAAAAATAGAGCTACCATGTGATCCTTCAATTCCATCTCTGGATGGATATCCAAAAACTATGAAAACTTTAATATGACAAAAATGTATCCATGTCAGTGTTCATAGCAGCACTCTTTACAGTAGCCAAGATATGGAAGCAACCTAAGTGTTCATTGACAGATGAATGGATAAAGGAGGTGTGGTAAATATATATACAATGGAATATTACTCAGCCATAAAAAGAATGAAATATTGGCATTTACAGTAACTTGGTTGGACCTAAAAATTATCACACTAAGTGAAGTGAGTCAGACAGAAAAGACAAATATTACATGATATCACTTATATGTGATATCTAAAAATAATTTAAATAAATTTATTTACAAACCAAGACTCACATAGAAAACAAATTTATGGTTACCAGAGGCAGAAAAGGAGGGTGAGAGAGATAAATTAGGAGCTTGGGGTTAACAGATACAAACTACTCTACCTAAAATAGATAAGCAACAATGATTTACTGTATAGCCCAGGGAACTTAATTCAATATCATGTAATATCCTATAATGGAAAGTAATCCTAAAAATTATAAAATAAATGGAACTTTATATTGGACATGTATTTTATTTAGGATCATAAAAAATAAACTCTATTTTAAGCAGGGACTGGATATTCCTTAAAACACTTGATGTAAAGATGAGCAAGAATTTGCATGATAATTTGATAATATTACTCAGTTTATTGTTTTTTTTATGAGTGTGTCATTTTGCATCAGAAACTCATTGATTATAAAAATATATCTAGTTGGCATATCTGTTGCTTTACTTAGCATTTAAATTTTGATGGCTACCGAACTATTTTTTAAGCAACAGATTTGTCATATTTAATAATCAGAGAATAAATTAAATCAAGTTGTGATTAAAATTTATGTTGTTTTTACATTTTATGGCACCTGTAAATATATATTAATAGATAAATAAATGTCAATATTGGTAAAATGACAATATGCTAAACTCCAAGTAAGCTATTATTTATATAAAACTATTAGACTAAATCATTAAGTAAAAGTATCACATAGTATGAAGACCCTTTAGAGATGATATGAAGCTTAAACTGAAGAACAAATATCCTGATAGCCCAGAAGTAATTATTTTTCTGTATTGATGTTTCACTAGTTTGAGTTTTAAGGTATCACACATACTTAGTAAATTTTTCTCCTGGAAAGTAAAATACCTAACATATTATTTTGCTGGAGTTATTTAAGCTTTCATTTTTAATGGCATTTTATCACAGCTTCATTAATTAGGAAAAACATAATCTATTAGCAACATGTGTATAAACACTGTACTTTTTTTCAGATACACACATCAATGAATATATGAACTAGTTTAAAAAATATGAACTTAGTTGTTGGGTAGCTGTATAGACTAGAAATAATCTTTTTGCACTTTAATTGCATTTGCACAAGAAGCTTGAAAAGGAACAACCCCTGTTTGTGAATTATTGTGTTGATAATTTTGGTAGAAGGTTTTTGTGGTTGTTAGCATCTCTATTTTTTAACTCAAATGCAGGATATGCATTTCTAAATCATATAAATTGACATGAAACTTGTGTTTGTATGTATTTCCTAAACATATTCAGTGGGACAGATTCCCCTGGGTTAATGACCTAACATGTTTAAAAGAAAATCTTTTATGATTTGCTTTGTTTCCTTTGCCTTTGAATCTTCCCAGTCTCCAGGGACAATCAGGTCAGTTCAGCTCAGTTCAGTTCAGTTCAGCTCGACTCTTTGCAACCCCATGGACTGTATCCGACTCTTTGCAACCCCATGGACTGCAGCACACCAGTCTTCCCTGTCCATCACCATCTCCTGGAGCTTGCTCAAACTCATGTCCATCAAGTTGGGGATGCCATCCAACCATCTCATCCTCTATTGTCCCCTTCTCCTCCTGCCTTCCATCTTTCTGAGCATCAGGGTCTTTTCCAGTGAGTCAGTTCTGCGTATCAAGAGGCCAAAATATTGGAGTTTCAGCTTCAGCATCAGTCCTTCTGATGAATATTCAGAACTGATTTCCTTTAGGGTTGATGGGTTTGGTCTCCTTGCAGTCCAGGGACAATATGAAGTGTTTAATCAGTCTCCTTTGGATTGTCCCATAGTAGCAGCATGTGTCACTGCTGTAGGATTATAAAAACTGACACTGGAATTTAGCCACAATCACACTGCAATACTTTTCTACTAATTTATTTTCTCACTTACAGATGCCTCTCATTCTCTTGTATCTTCAAAGTGGCTAAAAAAGATTACATTAGCTTTGTATTTGAAATCAATTGCTTAAAGAGGTGATGTCAAGTTTTATCTTTCCTTTTCCTTTGCATCCAAACAGAATCTTTTAAACCTAGTGAACAAGTATCACAGCCAGTTTTTAAAGCATCACTAAGCTGGGTAAAAATTATCCAGGACTTAATCCCTATTGTATGGTGTCATGATGGTGTCAACAAATTTGTAAAATAATCAGTAGTTTTGCTTTTGTTGAATTGTGGCTTCTCCCCCACCAATATGTGAGTTTTAAAAGTTAAAAAAAAAAGTTTAAAGGACTTGATATTATGATAACAAAGTTATATGAATGTGGTATTACATACAAATGTAATGTGATGTGTATAGTATATATATGTATACTTTCTGATTTTTTTCTATTATACAATTCATATATATTCATATATATGAATATGACTTTTTGTTAGTGTAATTAGAATAATAATGTCCTTTGCCTTAGCTATTTTAGATGTTATGTTTTCACTACGTCTATTGCATTTCATGTTGACTGACAATAAGAAATAGGGTTTAGGTGAAATAGTTTTATTTGTAGAAAGTATTTTGAGAACATGTGTGATGTAACACAAATTTAAAGTGTGGTACCTGTATCATAATCAACTAAAGCAAAGTTTTTTCAAAGTATGAGAATTGTGCTTTAAAAATAAGGGAAGGAGGTTTTTTTAAATTAATTCCATTTAGATGAAAGAAACATGAATATACAAGAATGATTTTTTTCAGGAAATCTGAGCCCTCCACTGACTGACTGTACTAAAAGATTTGTGGCCACAAGGAAAGTTTCTTTTGAAATTTTCTTGTTAAAACAGAACATATAGAATGAAAGCTTGTCTTAATAAACACAACAAACTTGAGATATAACTATTCTAATAAAATTCCATCTTCTATCCTCATATCACCTTTCTCAATGTGCAGTCTTGAGGGTAAGCTCCCTTTCTCCCAATTTTTCTTCCTTTCTTATTTCATTCCTTCATTTTTTATTTATTTATCTCCTACTATGTGCTGGTCATTACCTTAGGCCATAGAGTTACAAAGATGAATAAAATAAAGTGCTTGTTCTCATGGGAGCATATGTTCTGGTAGTGGGTTGTTTAAGTCACTCAGTCATGTCCGGCTCTTTGTGACCCCATGGACTTCAGCATGCTAGGCTTCCGTGTCCTTCACTATCTCCTGGAGTTTGCTCAAACTCATGTCCACTGAGTCGATAATTCCATCCAACCATCTCATCCTCTGTCGCCCCATCTCCTCCTGTTCTCCGTCTTTCCCAGAATCAGTGTCTTTTCCAGTGAGTCAAATCTTCTCATCAGGCAGCCACAGTATTGGTGTTTCAGCTTCAGCATCAGTCCTTCCAATGAATATTTAGGTTTGATTTCCTTTAGGATTGACTGGTTGGATCTCCTTGCAGTCCCAGGGACTCTCAAGAGTCTTCTCTAACACCACAGTTCAAAAGCATCTACTTTTTGGTGCTCAGCCTTCTTTATAGTCCAACTCTCAGCTCCATATATGACTACTGGAAAAGCCAGCATTGACTATACAGGCCTTTGTCATTAAAGTGATGTCTCTGCTTTTTAATATGCTGTCTAGGTTTGTCGTAGCTTGTCTTCCAAGGAGCCAGTGTCTTTTAATTTCATGGATGCAGTCACTGTCTGCAATGATTTTGGAGCCCAAGAAAATTAAGTCTGTCACTGTTTCCATTGTTTCCCCATCTATTTGCCATGAATGATGGGACCAGATGCCATGATCTTAGTTTTTTGAAAGTTGTTTTAAGCCAGCTTTTCCACTTTCCTTTTTCACCTTCATCAAGAGGCTCTTTGATGAAGAGAAATCTTCATCAAGTTCTTCTTTGCTTTCTGCCATAAGGGTGATATCATCTGCATATCTGAGGTTATTGATATTTCTTCTGGCAATCTTGATCCCAGCTTGAGCTTCATCCAGCCTAGCATTTCACATGATGTACTCTGCATATATGTTAAATGAGCAGGGTGGCAATATACAGCCTTGACATACCCCTTTCTCAATTTTGAACCAGTTCATTGTTCCATATCTGTTTCTAAGTGTTGCTTCTTGACCTATATGCAGGTTTCTCAGGAGGAAGGTCAGGTGGTCTGGTATTCCCATCTGTTTAAGAATTTTCCACAGTTTGTTGTGAGACCCACACAGTCAAAGATTTTAGCTTAATTGATAAAACAGAAGTATATGATTTTCTGGAACTCTTTTGCTTTGCAATATAGTTTTTCCTATATAAAAGTATACATTTTTTAGTATGCATATCACACATGCATACATACATGTTCTATAATTATATAGAAAATATATATACTTTCTATATAGTTATTGAATACATATGTATCTATGTATGATGTACATATCAAAAGTTGTATACTTTCAAATAATTCTTTATTTTTTAAGGTTTTCTTCTCTTAAGACATTTATGGATTTGCTAGTAAATAGATCAACTACATATTGTGATAAACTTAAATGTATAGGAATTGCTTTTGATGAATACTCATTATTTGTTTTATTTTTACATCAATTTCTACTGTTTCTGTAATAACCCATTCATGTTTTGTCATGCATATAAAAATATGTATTTCCTCATACGCATCTTATACATTATGAAAATACCCTTAGAAGAAATACTTATTCTTTTAATACTGATCAGTAACACATGTTGCCTTTTTTAAACTGCTGATTTTTCTACAAATGTTTCTCTCTCTTTTTTTAGTACTTCTGAAATCCCTCAGTTCCGGCTACCATATGATGTAGTAAATTTTGAGATTGAGCTTATGAAGGACCTTGGTGTAAAGGTAAGTGAAAAACATAACATTTGTGTATTGCTTTAAAAGAAAGGAGTAAGCTCTATACTGAAGATTAACAGCAAAATGTCACACACTTTAGGAAAGAACAATTAAAAGCTACACCAGGCAGAAGCAGAAAGATGCTTCTCCTTGCTTAGGGCATTTGTCTGTCTACTGTCTGAATGCCACTAGCCTGGAAAAGGGCAATCAATAGTTCTCATCTGGCACGCCTGCATGTGATTAATTGTCTGTAAGAAACAAATTCCTAAATTGCTTTAGGGGTTCAGTGCAGCTAATAGAAGGATTTGGTTTCTTTAATCACATTGTGCGTGTGTGTGTGTGTGTGTGTGGAAGTTATGTGAACTCTGAAACATTTGTATTACATGATTTGGGACAAAATTTCTTACAGAGGTTTATTTTATTTACTATGTGCATAATGTCAATAGTGTTAATGTGATAATCCTTTTTCAATATAAACAGCAATTCAGCAAGGTAGAAAGCAACAGTTCTGTATTTTTAATTGTTTTGTGAAATAAATATTGTGTTGTTCTTTTAAAGATGAGAAAAAATCAATACATTTTACTTTTAGATATAGCTTTAAATATTTCCGTTCTTTTATTTTATATTTCCATTCTTTTGTATTATATTTAAGAATATATTCTGCCGCTTCACCTAAATTTATTGCTATTTTTGTTACAAAACTTTTAATTTTCCATGACAGATATAAAATAATGGATTAACAGAGTATTATAAATTACACAATACATTCTTGTAAGTACATATAAAAACTGTTTTGAAAAGTGGTTAGCAAACTATTCATGATTCTTGCATTTAGAAATACAAATTAAAATAACCAATAAAAAGAAAAACACTTATAACAGTATTTTGTGTTTTTATACTTATAATTAATTTTATTTGGCAGTGATCAGGTAATGAAATGTGTATATAATCACCAAATAAAAAATCTTCTAGGAAATATGAACTACATATGTGCACACCTTTATGAAAACTGTTCAAAATAATGTTTGAAACAGATTTAAGGGTGATTACTTGCTTCATATAAATATATCCTGAAAAGTTCTTTAAATGTCTTTCATTTTGAATGCAAGTTCTTACCTAAATCTCATTAAGTAAGGAAATGATTATTGAGACCTCTAAGTAATATATTAGGTGATACTTGAAATTGAAGATAAATCAAAAACTAATTTAAGACACCTCTAAATTCATCTTATAAATAATTATAAAATTGCATTCAATTTGTACCATACTAGATATGTTGCAGAAAGTAGGGCACACCTGTTACTCTTACGAGGAACCTCATCAAGGCGTAGTGACACGGTAGTGGTCAGTACACTGAGTGCCAAGAAATGTACGTTTCAGCTACAGTTTTGCCCGTTCCTAATTTTATAGTCAGATAGCCTTGATGAAGTTAGTTAATGTCCTTCACCTTGGTCAATATTTGTTCAAAGGGAAAAGTATGCTATTACCACTTTTATAAACATATCTGCTTATATATGCCTGAAACTATATTTGCTCTGGACATGTGTAATAATCCAGTAGAATAAATTGCCTTTGGGAAGGTGTAGGAAGTCGTTTATCATCATTTTGTACATTTGAATTTTAAACCCTATGAATTTATTATATTATCAAGAAATAATTAGAACCTGAATTGAGGAAGTTAGTACTATCTTGTCCATGACTCAGGTTGTTTTAAAATGTGAAGGACATGAATCAGCCATGGAGAAGGAGATATAAAAAATATATAAATAAAATGTGAAGGAAACAAAGTATTCAAGCTTGCTTTGTAAACAATAAATTCTATGTACAATTCTGAAGAGAGACAGTAACAAGATTCTTTTTCAGCTTTGAGGACTGGCATCCACTGATGAAGTACTTTCATCTTATATGACTTACCAAACTTACCCATAAAAGGATATATCTTTCAAAAATTGGTCTAATCTTGTTACCACTTTTTCCTTATCACCACATTCTTCTTATAACCTGCCTTATGTTTTTACCTCTCAGCTCACACTATATATTTTAAAGTCAACAATAATTTACTGGCAATGAAGTGGATTTCTCTCTGGATTTATTCTCTTTGGCTCCTGGGCAGTGTGTGATATATTCTTATATGTATGCATGTAACTGTGCATGTATGTGCCCATATCTATATATGTATGTATGTATTTTTAGCTTTCATGATCTAGCATTATCTTGGATATTGCCTGTTTTTTTTCTCTATTAGATTTGTTTCAATTTGATAAAATTATTAAGAATTTACTTTGGCCAAGTTATGTACTAAGGATTCTTCTAGTACTGTCTTTCTTTTGAACTCCAGTTCTGTATTCTTAGTAGTTTACTGAGCATATTTATTATCCAAATAACATACATTCATCATATCTAAACTTAGCATAATTAATTATCTTCCCTCCCAAGTATGTTCTTCTAAATTTCTTATTGAGTAATTTCAACTTATTTCATACTAATAGCTGATAGATTAGTTCTTATTTATTTTAAACTGAATTTTTCCAATTAAAAATTGTGTCACAATAAAACTCTATTTGTACATTGTATGTATGTATGTATGTATATTATATATATATATGCTCAGCGATCAATGCAAGGAAATAGAGGAGAATAACAGAATGGGAAAGACTAGAGATCTCTTCAAGAAAATTAGAGATACCAAGGGAAAATTTCATGCAAAAATGGGCTCAATAAAGGACGGAAATGTTATGGACCTAACAGAAGCAGAAGATATTAAGAAGAGGTGGCAAGAATACACCGAAGAACTGTACAAAAAAGATCTTCACGACCCAGATAATCACAATGGTGTGATCACTCACCTAGAGCCAGACATCCTGGAATGTGAAGTCAAGTGGGCCTTAGAAAGCATCACTAGAACAAAGCAGGTGGATGTGATGGAATTCCAATTGAGCTATTTCAAATCCTGAAAGATGATGCTGTGAAAGTGCTTCACTCAATATGCCAGCAAATTTGGAAAACTCAGCAGTGGCCACAGGACTGGAAAAGGTCAGTTTTCATTCCAATTCCAAAGAAAGGCAATCCCAAAGAATGCTCAAACGACTGCACAATTGCACTCATCTCACACGCTAGTAAAGTAATGCTCAAAATTCTCCAACCCAGGCTTCAGCAGTACGTGAACCGAGAACTTCCAGATGTTTAAGCTGGTTTTAGAAAAGGCAGAGAAAACAGAAATCAATTTGCCAATATCTGCTGGATCATCGAAAAAGCAAGAGAGTTCCAGAAAAACATGTGCTTCTGCTTTATTGACTACGCCAAAGCCTTCGACTGTGTGGATCAAAATAAACTGTGGAAAATTCTGAAAGAGATGGGAATACCAGACCACCTGACCTGCCTCTTGAGAAACCTGTATGCAGGTCAGGAAGCAACAGTTAGAATTGGATCTGGAACAACAGACTGGTTCCAAATAGGAAAAGGATTACGTCAAGGCTGTATATTGTCACCCTGCTTATTTAACTTATATGCAGAAATCATCATGAGAAATCCTGGTCTGGACGAAGCACAAGCTGGAATCAAGATTGCCGGGAGAAATATCAATAACCTCAGATATGCAGATGACACCACCCTTATGGCAGAGAGTGAAGAGGAACTAAAGAGCCTCTTGATGAAAGTGAAAGAGGAGGGTGAAAAAGTTGGCTTAAAGCTTAACATTCAGAAAACTAAGATCATGGCATCTGGTCCCATCACTTCATGGGAAATAGATGGGGAGACAGTGGAAACAGTGTCAGGCTTTATTTTTTCTGGGCTCCATAATCACTGCGCATGGTGACTGCAGCCATGAAATTAAAAGACGCTTACTCCTTGGAAGGAAAGTTATAACCAACCTAGACAGCATATGAAAAAGCAGAGACATTACTTTGCCAACAAAGGTCCGTCTGGTCAAGGCTATGGTTTTTCCAGTGGTCATGTATGGATGTGAGAGTTGGACTGTGAAGAAAGCTGAGCACTGAAAAATTGATGCTTTTGAACTGTGGTGTTGGAGAAGACTCTTGAGAGTCCCTTGGACTGCAAGGAGATCCAACCAGTCCGTCCTAAAACAAATCAGTCCTGGGTGTTCATTGGAAGGACTGTTGCTGAAGGTGAAACTCCAATACTTTGGCCACCTCATGCGAAGAGTTGACTTGTTGGAAAAGACCGTGATGCTGGGAGGGATTGGGGGCAGGAGGAGAAGGGGACAACAGAGGATGAGATGGCTGAATGGCATCACCGACTCGATAGGCATGAGTTTGAGTAAACTCTGGGAGTTTGTGATGAACAGGGAGGCCTGGCAGTGCTGCGATTCATGGGGTCGCAAAGAGTCGGGCATGACTGAGCGACTGAACTGAACTGACCTGTGTATATATATATAAAAATATATATATATATACTTTTTTCTTCCACTGTTTCATTGTCTGGAATCTCTAGTATGTTGTAAATGTGATAATAAATGGCATCTTTTCAGACCTATAAAAATAACATTTTTATCATACTGAATAAATATTTTCTTTTTTTAGATTTATTTATATAATAGTAACATTTATGTAGTTACTTTTTATTTTAATGAAGAAAGGGTATTAAAATTTTAATTGCCCATTTAAATTGAGTTATATTCAGTTTTGCACTTCTGAAATATATATTTTGCATCATGTTTTATTATATCTGTACATCTAGAACTAGATTTGTTTTATGAGTTTTAAAAAAATTTCTTTTGCATTCACTTATTTATGCACTGAATATTAAAATTGGTAATATAACAGAATAGTCAGATTCTGTTGCTTTCGTTGTAGAGTTTCAGAGTTACTGAAAGTCTTCATTTTGTTTAATTTTTTGTTATATTTGTAAAATTGGACTATTTTATAGATTTATGGTTATAGAGTTATACTAACTTTATAAAAATTAACTTCTAAGCATTTCATTATTTTACTATTGGTAAGAATATTATCTTGATTCTTATGTTTTTGCTAAATTTGAAATTTTTATCCTTA